GCCTGAAAGAGCAGGACCTGCAGGCAGCAGCGGGACCCTCAGCAGTGCAGCATGTGGCCGGCAGGAGAGGCTCCCCACTGGGCTCCAGGATCCCCTGGGAGAGGCTCCAGCCAGCAGGAGAGGCTCCCTCTGCTCCAGGAAGGATCTGAGCAGTGACCTGAGGGGTTCCCAGCTCTGCTTCCAGCTCCTCCAATCAGAGGCCAGGCAGCTCGACATGAGGCTGGGGCTCCAGGAAGGTCAAGACCGCTAGCAGGCTGGAGCAGTGCTGCCAGTGGTGTCTGTGTGACAGCATTCCTGCCTACCACATGGGAGATCTGGGTTCAGGTTCCAGCTGAAGTGACTTGGGGTGAGTGAGCTAACAAGAAGCAAATCTTCTTGCAGTGGAAAGGGGCCATTATGTTTCCCCCCTTTCTCCCCCTCCCGGTACCAAGGCCCTATATTTCCTTGTCATTTGACATTTTGCATTTTGTGCCCTTTGTATATTTCACCAACCCATATTGTTTGCTCTGCTGTTTGTGTTTTATATTTTGTTAACCCTGTTTTGTCAATGATTGTAAGTGTCTAACCTTTGTTGAATCCTGCCCCCTTGGGGCGTTGTAGTGTCCACTATACCCTCTGATTTATGCCTGTTATGTTCCCAGTATTAAAAGGTATATGGTTAAGTGCCCATTGGTGGTCTGGCTCTGCTCTGTAGGGGGAGGAGAGTCCCTACACCTCCCACAGCACTTGTGCACCTGCTTTGATCCCTTCAACTGGAGGGGGGTACCTCTTGGAGTACCGCCTGGGTTACACCTGTATGACATGGTCCTCTCTTCTCTCAGGTGAGTCTTACGGACCCAAGTAACTATAGGCCCATAAGCCTCACCTTGGTCCTCAGAAGATCTTGGAGAAAATTATCAAGGAACACATCTGTGGGGGGCAAGCAGGGGAGATCATGCTCAGAAGCAACCAGCATGGGTTCATCAAAGGCAGCTCCTGCCTGACCAACCTGATTGCCTTTTATGTAGGTTATAATTACTGGAATGCAGTCATTACCACGCTCCAGCAGACTCGATTAATCTGCTCAATTAATTTGCCACACACATGATCAGAGGGCAGGAGAACAGGCCTCATGATGAAAGGCTGAGAGCCATGGTACTCTTCTGCCTGGAAAAGCGCAGGCTCAGGGGGGACCTGGTGGCTGTCTATAAGTATATAAGGGGTGTACTTCAGGATCTGAGAGAATGCCTGTTCACCAGAGCATCCCAAGGGACGACAAGGTCAAACGGTCACAAACTCCTTCATGACCGTTTCAGGCTGAACATAAGAAAGAATTTCTTTACTGTCCCAGCCCCCAAGGCCTGGAACAGACTGCCACCAGAGGTGGTGCAAGCACCTTCTCTGGACTCCTTTAAGAGACATTTGGATGTTTATCTTGCTGAGATCCTTTGACCCCAGCTGACTTCCTGCCCCTTGGGCAGGGGGCTGGACTCAATGATCTTCTGAGGTCCCTTCCAGCTCTAATGTCTATGAAATCTATTAAATCTATGAGTCTGCTCTGACACACTGTAATTACAGCGCTTTGGAGTAGTCTCGCATGTATGTGTATTCACACATGCATCTTCTCACATTGACTTCTGCCTTTTGCTAGGAATATTTGTGCTGGGTCCTTTAAATATATTCTGTATGTCTTTGGAAATTCAGGGCATCCTCTCAGACTAGCGATTTTAGTAGTTTTCATCCAATTGCTGCTCCTCTTCACAATCAGATTCCCCTGCATGAGAATCTGCACATCAGGGAATCCACTGGCTCAGATGTTCTAAGAGTAAAACCAAGTGAGCCAAGTCTCAGCCCTTAGCTGGCCTGACTTGATTGTTACCTGTCAGCTCTGTGTTCCTGAGGGAGCCCTGGCACCCAGCTTGCTGAACTTACAAAGGACTTTTTCTATTTCCCCCCACCCCCACACACACCTCATCTAACCAGAACTAAGCAGAAGAAAAGTTTAAAAGGCATCTCAGGACATACATTCCCTGGTCCCAGTATGGGAGGCCTATTTCAACTTGATTGACTAAAACTCAGTTGCCACGTTAGGGAATGCTGAGGCAAGAGACCAGGTCAGGGGGTATGGGCAACATTTGAACAATGGTTAAGGGTTCATCACAGTGTCCAGCCCTGTGGAGCCCTGACCACAAATGCTGTCATACTTTTCCCAGGATGACTGGTGGAAGTCCTCTCCACAAAGTTTATGAACACTCCAAGTAAGCCCCTTAAGTATGCTAAAAGACTACAGTAAGATCTGAAAGTCATGCTAAGCTGAGGCTTATTCACAACAGGTAAAATGCAAAACACTGATGCTGACTTCACAGTGCAAGCATAGCTAGGCCATCTGAGAAGAAACAATGTGGTATCCCTTCCAGTATATCTCCTGTATTTATAATAATTTCAAGCTGGCTCCTAGGTGTTTGGTTACTCCTTAAAACTTTATGTTTTTCCTGGTTGTTAATCAGTTTCTCAAGATGTTCCAAACCAGATAACCCGTTGTCACTGAAAAAGGAAATTCATTTAAATTGAAACTGTTTATGTAACAGAATTTTCCCTGTCAATTATGGCTTGGAATCCTCTTGATTTACACAATTAAAAGAATGCTTTGAAGAGGCTGGACTAAGGGTATAAGAAAGCTGTAAAGCAGCAAACAGTGTGCTTCAAGAGAAAAAAAATCTCTCTAACACCATCCGCTGCTGTTCTCGAGAAGCTGGGAGAAACAGATTGTCTCTTTTGGTTACCTGTTTAACCTTCAACGATCGTGCTAGGAACTTTGCTTGTCAACAAAATCACCGGAGTGCCTTGGAATGGTGAGATCCCAGCTCTTGCTCTCTCTTTGTCTTTTTCCCTCGTTCTCTCTTTCTTTTTCTTTTTCTCTCTAGGCATAGCTTTCTGAACCTAAATTTTATTAGTTAATCTTGAGTTAGGTTTCCCCAAATACTCAATTAAACCAGAGTAATATTGTAATTGTTTTTGTTTGTTTTTTCTTGCATGTCTATTACTACTAGTACCATTATAAATTTCATATACTTAGCAATAAATAACTTTTATAGTCAAACTGGTGATAACGGGGTATATTTTTCCTTCTCTACTTCCCCTTCCCTACTTGCTCTGCAGCAACACTTCTTTCACTTAAGCCAAAGATCCCTGTGAAGCCCCAAAATACTGTGGGGTCCACTCACCAAGAGGCTACTACTGCTAAGACAGTTAGAGCAAAAGATTGGGACGTGCTGAGTTTAAAACACATAAGGGGATCAGCTTGTATAGGCTGATTGACTCAGTTTGGCTCAGACGTGCCCTAATGAACTGAGTGCTGGCCCACAAGGGTGTCAGCTGGACATCCAGCCTGATTCAGAGGTATTCTGTTCACCTGTGTGCTTGTGTCTGACTGCATTTTATTGTTACCTTAATGAACTGATTCCTGGCATATGAGGGTGTCAGCCTATACATGCTGATCAACCCGGCCAGGTCAGGCATGTCACATTAATCTGTGCATGTGTGTATGTATTTGACTGATTTGGTGGCTGCAGGAACCCAGCCGCATTGAAACTGAGTCCTGCAAGATAGCTCCACTGGGGATGAGGACTTGCAGAAGGGAGAGATACAGCTCCATATAGAAACACAAGTAACACAAGCAGCACATTGATAGAATTACAAAGACCCTAGAAATGTAACCCTTATAAATGAGCACACCCGAAAGTGATGGGCAAATCTGGTAACATGATGGGAGTTATGTTGATTTATACCAGCTCAGAATCTGGCCCATTTGATTTCAGTGCAGTTTTCCTGATTCATATCACTTGGCATTCTGGTCTATTGACTACCAGGGGGTATTCCAGTTTACACCAGCTGAGTATTTAACCCAAGGACTTTGATAAGAGTCATGTTGATATACAGCATCTGTGGAACTTGCCACTTAACTTCAATGCAGCTACCCCAGTTTACACCAGTTGGTAATCTAACCCTAAATTGTATCTATGCAATATTTGGTTACTATCTAGTTTCTGTTCCAGTCATGGATGAATAGATACAGATTTCAACCTGACACTGGAACCAGCAAAACAAAGAACTTGGCCCAATATGTACAAATGAACAGCACTGGCTGTTTGGGTACAGATTTCCATTTGATTTCAGATATATGTGGTCACCATGAACTTCAGCAGATTTGCACCAGTGTAGAATGTGTCCCCTCATTATCCAATACACTTCCTCTGATGGTATCTGCATATCTCTTTCTCCAAATGCAGTTGTTTATGAGTTCTGGTATGACCACGTGAAAGGCTGGTGGAAGAAGAGGCAGGACCACCCCTTTCTCTACTTGTTCTATGAGGACATGAAAGAGATGAGCGGGCAACAAGACCCTTCTGAAGAGCAGTCTGCCTGCCATCCTGGGAAAACCTGTTTGTGGGTATATTCAAGTCCATTTTCAGCAGGGATCTGGGTTTTCTGTTCGCCATGGAAAAAAGCGGTAAAAACTGGATGTTCCCATTTTAAGGAGAAAAACCTGTATTTTCTCTTTTTAAGGAGAAAAACTCAGATTTTCTCCTTTAAAGGAGAAAAATGCAGGAAAAGGTGGGTTTCCCCTTGCAGATGGGAGCTCCCCATGGTGAAGGAGGGATTTGGGCAGGGCTGAGTCATGGGGCATGCGGCCCAGGGCCATGTATAGCCACTGAGCTCAGGCGCAGAGCAAGACAGAGCTGTGGGCGGCTCATCTGGTGAGCGCAGTGGAAGGCTGGCTCCCCGCCAGTGCACGCACTCTCAGGGGGCTTAGAGAAATTTCCCAGCCCCTCCTTCAATAGCAGAGCTGGGGCTAGGAGCTGCCGAGGCAGGAGGCATTGTCCCAGCCTGGGGTCTGTGCTCAGAGACCTCTTTGGAATCAAGCAGCTTCCAAGGGAGGGGGTTGTTCTCCCATCCCTTGCTGCCTGGGCTGCCCAAGAGCAAATTTGCTCCCAGTTAGCTGCCTCCACGCTGTCACAACCATGCGGTTAATTTGCTACCTGCATTTACAGGTAGCAAATTAACTCCGCAGTTGACTAACTGACTGAGCACTAAGTGTTGGTACATGTAGACAGTGATGCTTTACTGCACAGTCAATTAGGCAACTGCACGGTAAAGCATCTTGTGTAGATGTGCCCACTGTTCACCTGACTGGGTGATCAACTGGGTCCAACCACACCCCATCTGTATGAAGCACTGCCTGTCTGTCTTTCTGTAGGACCCAAAGTGTGAAATTCGGAAAGTGATGCAATTCCTGGGGAAGGACCTGACGGAGAAGGTTCTGGATAGGATTGTCTATCACACATCATTTGATATGATGAAGGAGAATCCCACCACCAATTATAAGATGGCTCCTGGTTTCCTGGTTGAACAAGGATATTCCCCTTTCACGCGCAAAAGTGAGCATATGTGAGAGCATGAGCACACATCATTTTCTCTTTAGTTAGCGTTAGAAGTTGTTTTCCCATCTGGTTTTCTTTTCTACACTGCCTTGAAAGGTGGCTCTTTATTTCTCCCCCACCATTAAATAATTATTTGATAAAGTGTACCAATAGCATAGACAATAGGGAGCTGAAACTAGGCCTCCTACTTCCCAGAGGAGTACCCATCACACTCATCTGCCAAGTAAGAATACCTTGTTTTCTCTCTTAGTTCTAGGATTCTTCCATACCTTTCCACTCAATGGTCTAGGTTTAATAGGAGGTTAGAAAGAAAAGAGCAGCCCAGTAGTCAAGTGCACTTTCTTGGGTAGAGAGAAATATGAGTACAGCCCCCCAGTGGTTAACATAAGCCTAGAACCCTAGTCTCTTATTTCAAGGACAGGAGTTGATGCCATTAGGCTGTTTGCTATGACCACATAGGGTATTATTTATCAGTTACTAGGTCTGGTTTTTCTGTGTCTAAGGAACTGGGGACTTATGGGCCTTTCTGAGTGCTGAAGAATGGAGTGAAATTCCAGCAAACCTGAGGTGGAGGTAGAGGTCTAAAGAACATACTTATCTTAGTGTTGCTGGGGCTGCTGTGGGCTGCAGCTGAATCATGCTTAGTGACTTGGGACACCGAAAGCCCACAAAAGTGACACCTGTGCATCTACACGTCACCCTACATCGCTGTAGCAGCACGTTACATTGCCATACCATGTGCTATGGTGACGTAACAATCATGTAAGTCTACACGTGACCAGCAGCTACTTTGCTATAGCGGTGCACTCCCTCATTTTAGCGCACTGCTACAGTGAAGTAGCAGCTAAAACTAATTGTGTGCTGCATGCACGGTGCAGTACAGGCAGCTACTGCACTGTGCTCTAGTACTTCTAAAAGAAAGCACTACAGCATGCAGCAGTAACAACATCGCCATAGGGTGATGTGTAGATGTGCCCTTAGACACTTTAAAAGGTAGAACGGGACTTGCACCCTTGTACTGCGGCTAGTAGGAGTGGGTGGCAATCAATACCACATAGATCTGGGCCTGTACTGGATCTAATTAGTACTCCATGTAATGAGCTACAGTTCTGGCCCTGGTGTGTACGGTACACTCATTAGCCCTAAAGTTAAATTTACCTCTCAGCCACATGTGTAAATCTGTTGGCTTTTCATGGAAGAGTGTCACTGAGGGCTGAGCCAAGTGCTTTCTCAGTCAGCAAGGCTGTGCTTTATTACAGTTTTCTCTACCAAAAGATTCTTTGCTTCACGTGTTTCCTTATGTTTCTTTTATTGTCTCTTTCTCATTTTAGGGATTGCTGGTGACTGGAAGAATCACTTTACTGTGGCCCAGAATGAGAGATTCAATGCAGACTATGAGGGCAAGATGGCTGGGACCACCCTGCGGTTCCGAACAGAGGTCTGATGTACCTGGAGTCTCCATGTCAGGATGCTAATCCAAACCAGAGCTACATGGGACTTTCTATGACACTAATTTTTCTTTTTCCTCCTCCTTCTTTGAAAAACCAAAGGTCGGACTCTAGGAAATGTTTCCATCCCAGTGGCAGGCAGCAATATGTTGTGACTCTGGGAAATGGGAATTTCTTTGAAGAGTTTGAGATTCTTTTAGAATGTCCTAAGTAGGAGTATGAATAGGCTCATACTCTAGTTAGCTTCCATGGGACCAGAAGGGTTTAGGGGAGACGCTGTTTCCCCTAGCGCCCGCTGGCATAACAAGGAGTAATGGGCACAAGTTGATGGAGAGGAGGTATAGATTGGACATCCACAAGAACTACTTCACAGTTAGGGCGGCTAGGAGCTGGAACCAACTTCCAAGGGAAGTGGTGCTGGCCCCTACCCTGGGGGTCGTTAAGAAGAGGCTGGATGCCTACCTGGCTGGACTCATTTGAGTCCCGTTTCTTGTTTTGGGGTTTTGTTGTTCTCCCGCCCTGGCGGGGGGTCGGGCTAGAAGATCTACTAGGTCCCTTCCGACCGTAAATCTATGAAACTATGAAACTATGAAACTATACAAATACACCCTATATTACCTCACCCCTTGTTGATTGCTGGGCTGTATTCTGGCCAGCCTCACTTTGGGCAGACCTAGGCTTTGGGTATGGTGATGAATGGAGATCCTAGTTTTCTCTGTTTAAAAAAAAATCCCCAATTTTCAGTTAAAAAAGTAACCCCAAATCCACATTTTTCCATGATTAAAATGAATCACTATATCTATCTATCTATCTATCTATCTATCTATGTGGGGGGGTATATAGTGTGTGTATAGGGGGTTCAGTTAAATCACAGAAAAATATGGATTTGGGGTTATTTTTTTTAATGGAAAATTGGGGATTTTTTCTTAAATCAGAGAAAACCAGGATCCCTAGTGATGAAGTAGCCATCACTGGGGCACATGTGGCTGACCTCCTCACCCCTACTGTTTATTCTGCCAATCACCCACTTGGTCCTTCTTTACAGTCGTTACTGCAGGGTGTGTCTACACTGTAAAACGAAGATCTGACTGTACATGTACTATCTTAATCTGGTCAGTAGGGGTAAGAACAACAGCAGTAACACAGCAACACAGACTTTAATACCTGCTACAGCCAGAATCACTGGAAGGCTTGTGCTCTGGTTGCTACTGTGCCAATGCCATGGCATCTCCCTTGCTGTTACTTGTGCCAGTTAATACATGCTACAACCAGACCTTCCTTTTGCTAGGTAGACATATCCCCAGGATTGTCCTGTACTAGCAGTTGGAAAGGAGGAGCAAATAAAGAGGCTTCCACAAAAAGGCTGGGTACAGAAGCCAGTTTTCATTACTGGGAAGAGACCCAAGTTTCACTGAAGGACGTCACCAAACCCTCAGCGAGATGAAGTCAAGCACTTGCTAGACAAGATATTGGCTGCTTGCATTCATCTCAGGATTTCCTGCCCCTTCTACACCGCATGCTCTTACTTTTCCTAAGTGGGTCAACAGGTGAAAAGGTCTTTTCTTGCAGAAGGTTCTGGAAGGGACACCGCTGTACATGTACATACCTCACGGTACCAAAATTTGATCAGGCTACATGGGGTCAGGAAGGAGATGAAATTTAAACCTGGAGTGGGTGGGTGGTGGGGGTTGCGAAGAAACTAATGTGAATGACATGTGTGTAACAGCAGAAGGAACCGGGGGGCAGTCTGTAGAGCTGTGCTGAATATTAATTTGGACTGCAACTCTCAGAAACCCTCAAGGGCTGGGTAGAAAGGGAAAAAGGAAGAGGAAGCTTGTGGCAGGAGCAAGGGGAAGAGAGCAGCGTGCTCATGGCACCTGGTCAGCCCTATGCAGAGGAGCGCAGTGGAGCTGGAGATCTCACTGGCTCGGTCAGCCAGGACTGTGGACTGAAGGAGCTGGACTCAGACTTGGGGGCCACTGTAGGCTGCTGTTTGAGTCCTAAAGGCTTGCTTGGGGACATCTCTAAAAATTTACCTGGGGGAAATTCAGGTGCTGAGTATATGGGCACTTTTACATGTGCTTTGTGGTTTCCCGGGGGTGCTTTAATTAGAGCGGCTCTCAGAGCCGCTCTAATTAAAGTGCCACAGCATCTTGTGTATTAGCATCCTTAACTGTCTGAGCCCCCCAGGTCTGGAATAGACTGCTGCCAGAGGTGGTTCAAGCACCTACTTTGAACGCCTTCAAGAGAAAATTGGATGCTTATCTTGCTGGGATCCTATGACCCCAGCTGACTTCCTGCCCCTGGGGCAGGGGTCTGGACTCGATGACCTTCCAAGGTCCCTTCCAGCCCTAATGTCTATGAAATCTAGGAAATCCTCATGTTTCAAAATGGTGGCAGTGGTGCTTGAACTAAAGCTCATTTGATGCACTTTAGTTAAAGCACTCCCAACACCATTTTGATGCGCAGGGATGCTGATACAAGAAATGCGGAGGCTGGCTTTAGTGTGGTAATTACCACTCCACAGCAGACTTAATTAATCGAGTCAACTCTGACATGCTGTAATTACAACACATTGGAGCAGCCTCACAGCACGTCTACAGGCACCCTCTGTCACCAAGTGCTAATGTTTCTTTACCTTTGACCTGTTCCCTCCCTTTGGCCCCTTGGCTTGTGACGCTAACCCCTTGTTATATGAGATTTTATTGCTTACTGGCACTTCCTATGTAGATGCAAACAAATTCCTGTCAGTAAAACATTGTAGCATACACCAGGACCATATGGCTCTAAAGTCTACATCCAGTAGATCCTTGTACCTGTTACACAGGCAGAGGCACGGTGTGGGTTTTCAGTAGTGGGTCTACCTAAATCACAGGGGGACTTTCCATGGTTTGATCATGGCAAAGTTCTCATTCTGCGGTCATTTTGTGGCAGCCCTGCCCCTTGGCTCTGATCGGTGGAGAGGCCCAAATGGGAAGGAGGGATGAGGAGGCAGCCACCATCTTGAATGCTGGCTGCCCTTGGTGGAGCCCCATTACTGAACGCTGGAGAGGTCACAGTGGGATAGGAGGTGTGAGAAGGCATCAGTCAACTTGTCTGCTGCCTTTCATTACACCCTGCCAGCCAGCACCTTCCCTTCCAAGCAGTGAGGACAGCTGGCTCCCACTGGTGAGCCAGTTTTTTATTTTTATGAAGACAGATAGATAGATAGATAGATCCATTTTTCAAAACTTATAGCATATTCCATTCCCCCACCAGAGGAAATCATACCAGTGCTGATATCTATCTATCTATCTATCTATCTATCTATCTATCTATCTATCTATCTATCTATCTATCTCTTTTTGGGCATGAGAGTGAAGTGTGCCACCAACTTTAATCCAGAAAAAAAGTGTGCTCCAGGTATCAAAAGTTTGGGAAATATTGTAATAAACACTTAAATGATCTTTGTGCCTCATATTCACTTCCCATGGTACACATGCACTTGACTTCATTATGGGAGTGATGCTGACAGTGTCTGAAGAGAATTGATTTATTTATATAAAAAATTAAAGTGTAAAGAAATTAATAGACTCTGCAGTTGTAGGAGGGTATGGATCCTAACTGAAGGTTGATTTCTAGATAGCTCAGTGATTCTCAGACAGGGTGCTGCAGCACTCCACTGTACCTTGAAATCCTGTCAAGGGTGCTGTGGGGTACCAGCACTGTTAGGTGTACAAACATGTAGGTGTACTCCAAGAGGTACCCCCTCTCCAGTTGAAGGGATCGGAGCAGGTGCACAAGCACTGTGGGAGGCGTAGGGACTCTCCTCCCCCTATAGAGCAGAGCCAGGCCACCAATGGGGACTTAACCATATACCTTTTAATGAGAGAACAGTACAGTACTGGGAACATAACAGGCATAAACCAGGGGGTATAGGGGACACTACAACACCCGGAGGGGGCAGGATTCAGCAAAGGTTAGCTTTACTTATTACTTAATCACACTGGTGACTCATGTTCATTTTGGAGTTGACTACAACTCCAAGATCCCTCTCCTCAGTATGGTACTTCTCAGGCTATAGGAGTGTTGATGACTCTTTCTCCCTGAGTGCAACACATGGCACCTACCTTAAAGTTTCTATCTTGTTTATCCTTCTGTTCCTGCATTTCCCCAGCCTGTCATCTAGTTTGCAGGCCTCCCCACAGAGTTTCATGATGTCAGCTAGCTTGGACAAGGTGCTTTCTACTTCCTCATCAAAGTCACTGAGGAAGATATTGAACAGTAGACCAGTCACAGGACAGAGCCTTGGGGGACTCCACTGCCTACCTTTCTCTAGGTCAAAACCAACCGGTCCACTACCACTCTCTGGGTGAGTCCCATAAGTCAACTGATTTGAACCTAGGACCTCTCGTACCCCAAGCAAGAATCACACCCCTAGACCAACAAGCCAATTACATGTGAATGATAAAACCACTCTGCCTGGATGTGGTTTGTCTGAGTTCTTCCCACCAGGTGAAGGCTTTATTATTTTTCTGTAGTCAAAAAATAAGTGAAAACTAAGAACTGGAATTTTCTGATGGGTGCCTTGGATCTAACAAAGGGTGCTTTGAAAAGGTTGAGAACCACTGAGAGAGATGATACTTGGGCCAAAGAAGATTTGGTGAGTTCTGTTCAAGTTCCCCTCAGTGTGCTATGAGGACCCTTCCAACCTGAAGGCCTTTTAGGGCATTGCTTCCTCTAACATCTTTTTAGGATGCCAGCTTAGAGGGGGCACCAATGGCCCCTCCCCCCAGGAGTCTTTGCCACAGCAGGTGCAGCTCTGAGCTGCTCAGTCCTAGGAACTGGGCAGGTGCAGACCCTGCACCCAGGAATGTATTTGGGGATAGAAGTGTAGAATGGTGCCCACCTCCATGAAGACTTTTTCATGGAAGATGCAGCCCTGTGCCCTTGATCGGGAAGGAGGAAAAAACAGGGCAAGAAGAGGGGCCCCAGGGAGCCTGTGTCACTGCCTGTTTCTCAGCTGCACCAGCTGAAGCCTTCACTTCTCCAGGAGTAGCCACAGCAGTAGCAGCTGCTGCCCCATCAGGTTACACTCTGTTCCCCCTCCGTCCCCATAGCTCACCAGTGGTCAGTATAATCCTCTCCTCCCCCTCCCCCATGATCCCAGTGCTAAAAAAGATCACTATTTCTCTGGGCTCTGGATGGGATCTGAAGGGTCTGCAGATCCAGGCTATCCACATCATTGTGAAGCATGCCATGTCATCAGCAACTCTCTTCCCAGCCCAGAAATCTCTCCTAGCTCCAACTGTGGCAGAGAGAGAAGCGTCTCTCAAACAGGCTGATGCTGAGCCACTGACTGTGGTACAGTAAAAGCCATGTCCTTAAATGACAAGAAATTGGCAGCCATTTCTGATCAGACCTGGGTTTAATACTTAGCTTATGGCAAGGCATACTGGTTAGGTGAGTTCTGTATTAGCTAGATTGTCCAGATGACCTTGAAACACATATCATCCCAAGTAATGCATATTTGATATGGACCTTCTGAAGAGTTCAAAACTCAGAAGATTGCTTTTAAAACCATGGGGTTTAAATTTAAAACCATGGGGTTTAAAGAACTGCTGAGTTCTGTTATTTGCTGTTGGTTTCCCTGTCATGCTTTCAAAGTTTCCTTTGTGACCAATTGAACTGGCTACTTTGGTTTTGAATGAGAGCTGGGATTCTCACATCATTGCATAGCCTTGTCATCATGGAAGTTCAGGCAAGGTAATTAGCACTCCTGAGAGAGCGCACCGTTTAACTCACCCTGATACTAACTAGTATACTCACAGTCCCATGCAAATATGGCTTTAGTGGTTCCAGTTTGGGAAGGACTTTGTATAGAGCAATGCAGTGTATGAAGGCACAGATGCCTGGCATAGTAAGACATGGCTTATTAAATATCTAGGAGAAAAACTGAGTTGAACCTGGCATGTTTTACCCCAGAGATTTCAGGATTTGCCAGAACCAGCCATTGCTTTGTGTTCACACTCAATGGAAAGATCAGCTCTAAGAACCAGATGCAGCTAGTACATCCACAGCTAGTACATCCTCTCCTTGAAACTCTCTTTCACGTACCCTGCACAGACACACCAGCCTACAAGCTGCAAATCTGACTCGGACTCCTACTACATTCATCACTCCCAACAGTCTCTGGGAAAAGATGATGTCCTTTTAGTTTTGTAATGTGACCTGCAACAACCCCCGTGGCTCCCCAGAGAAAACATACACTCCTCACCCCTCAACTTGGAGCAGCCTTGAAAACATAGTGAGTCCAGCATTTGCTTTTTCTCAGCTGAACTCATTTGACAGCTGCCTGACAAACTGGATTTGTTCCTTGCTGGCCCTCAGCCCAACTTTTCTTTATTCCTAGGCTCCTCCTATTCTAACCCATGGCTTATGTAACTGCGACCTTTTGTTTCCTTGGCTGTGCTCCAAAGAATTTCTTGCTGTTCCTAGGGACCTCCCCAATCCCTCCATCTCCTTGTACTTATTGCTTTGTACACAGCTTTTCTTTCTCCCCAAGAGAGAAACACCACCGGGAGAAGATAAAGGTAACTGAGAAGCTTTGACAGTCTGCGCTGCTGTTGCCAGAAGTTTGCCATCTCTGCTGTCACTAGACTGAAGAGCAGAGAAGTCCTCTGAGCACCATCTCTTGGAGACGTGGGGTCTAAACCCAGGAAGAGGCCTGGGCTTTTAGGGTAAAATATGAGATTAAATATTCTGGTGTTGAAAGCCTGCACAGCACAGTCTCTGGACTTTGTAAGGGGAGCTGGGTGCCCAGGGGAAGGAGATAAGCATGTCATAAAATGGATTTGTCAGATGGAAGGGGCTTTATACTTTGTTTTGCAATGTAGTCTGGGGCATCTGGATGGGTCAGAGTTGTGGGGTCCAAGCTGATGTTTTGGGAAAGGAGCCAGGACTATACAAATTTTCTGTTGATTTATGTGAATTTAAGATTCAAAATGGTGAATTGGTTCCTAATTTCTAGCATCTGTCTCTCTGTCTCTGTCTCTCTGTATTTGACTTTATTTGCTCAGGAGCTTCTACACCCTGGTATTTTTTGACCAGAAGCGAAACTATTCTTTATTTACTCTTTTCAGAGGAAAATAAGTCCTGCTTGTTGCTGTCATTTACAGATTTCAGGAGAAGATAAGAGTTTACATAGTTGATCATTCAAGAGTGTTTCAAAGGCAGCTCTTGACCCATTACACAAATATCTGCCTACAGGTTCAGCTGTAGTTATCACTAATTTTCATTAGTGTGGTTTCCCTACTAATAGTTGCTTATTAACATTTGTTTTGCAGTGAGGGAAGGGAAGTACTGTGTGTTCTTCTGATCATATTGCTTATAGTTTTTCTGCACTGTTCATGACATCTGCATAGCTAATCATTTTATTATTAACCCATTCTGGGTGCAGAAAATAGAATGTGATATGCTAAATTACAGCAGAGAATTTAGCTTTATTGGCTGTTTGGTTATTCTTTATTTACAAATTAGTAATCATTTTGAAACTTGAATTACATAATCTGTAGTGAGATTTTTTCACTAAAAAGTACTGTCATTCATTTTCCCTCGGTGAAAGCACTAAGCAGCAGCCTGTATGAAGTAAAGCTATCTCTTGTAAGAAGTGCTGTTATACCACTGCAGACAGATTTTTCATGTAGGGAGGATTTGCAACCCATTGCATGGGCAAAGGGTTGCTGAATGAAGGATAAGCTGTGAATTCCTCTACTTTGGCTTTCACTTCAAAAAGTGGAGTTCACTTCATCTGTGGTCTAAGCAGCTGATCAGAGAAATGGCACCTTCTGAAATAAAAACCACAGCAAAGAGATGATGCACCTCTGCAGCCCTATCCAGCTGTTCGTTATAGCTGTGCATACCAGGAGCTAGTTTACAAATCTGCATCTTCACAAAGGGGTGGGGAAACGAACCTTAAGATCAGAGATTGTGTTATAGTAAATAATTTGTGCTACTTCTACCCAGGTAGTATCTGAGAACTTCACTTAATTCACAGCCCCACTGGGCTGTACACAAGAGTTTATGATCTACATTAGGACACATAGGAAAACAGACTCCAGGTCTTCTGAGTCCCAGTCTTGTACCTTTACCATATGGTTACCTTCTCAGGTAATTTATACCCTTGATTATTTACACTTGACCTCTACCACAGGAGAACACCCAAAGGGTTCAGCCTCTTGCATTGATTGGTTCCTTTGCCCCTTTCCAGCCTTTAGAAATGGTTACCTTGGCACTGTGGAAAAAGTGCTGTTATTTTATTGTGTGAGAAAGGCTGTTTGCTTTTGACAAGGGAGACCTGAAAAAGATTGTATCAAATAAATTAAAGGGTAAGAAAGCTGAACTATGGCCTCTTTCATATGGGATTGTAATGAAAAACTGGAGTTAGAAAATATGGTGTAGCATGGAAATGCCATTGCTGCCCCTGTTTTTAATAGCTGAGTACACACACACACACACAGAGTGAGAGCAGGGATGGGCAATTGACTGCAATAAAAGAAGTGCCTTATCATGCTCCTCTCAGCATTTGGAAATACTGAGTAAATGAATAATAATCTCACCTAGCTGCTCTCCCTTCTTGTTTCTGTTCTGATTACACTCTGGTTACATCCTATTACATTTTACCCCTTGCAGGATGTCTCATCTAGAAAGTTACATTCGGCAGGACTGGCGGCTAGTCCATGACATCCCAATGGTCTATGCATTTTCTTTCAATTGGGAAAGGATCGACAACTTCCAGAGCAGGCCTGAGGACATTGTGATAGCCACATACCCCAAGTCTGGTGAGTTATCATGGCTTTAATGGTTATGAGCCAAAGCAGCATGTGAAGCCTGGTGCTGGAAATGTTGACAGATATGCCTTCAAGCCCCACCTGGTTCTCAATTTGAGAGAGAAAACCAGCTCCACTGATTCACAGCTGCTGCTAGTGTTAATATGTCAGAGCCTCTCCAGTGTGATGTGTAGCACCCTCCTCACCAATCAACTATTAGAATCCACCCCATTCACTTGGACCCTGGACTCATCTATATTGCCCATGGTGCTTTCCCAGGGTGACTGTTTGAGAATGCTGTACATCAAGCTGTAGTGTTTTCTGACAAACTAATGAGATCCCATCACTCCCCACCCTCAAGCTAATACATGAGAAGCAGCCAGAATACAGAAGATACTAGCTCTGGACTAAATGATCATGACTGCAGTTGTCTAGGATGGCTGAGACAGGATTGGGCCCTTGCCTCTCTATTTCTGAATAGGTGAGCCATATACTTGACTGACATTTTCTTCTCGTGTCTGGCTTCCAGGCACCACATGGATGAGTGAAATTGTGGACATGATTCTGAGCAATGGCAATGCTGAAAAATGCAAGCGTGATGCAATCGTCAACAGAGTGCCCATGCTGGAATTTGCTGCCCCTGGAGAAATGCCAGCAGGTAAGTCTGGCATTAGTGCTGCAGGAGTGCAAACACATGGATCAGCGACTTGATGCAGACTTACAGGTTAGGAGAGGAAAGGTAGGTTTGTAGATAAAGCACTGGTCTGGAGATGTGGGTTCAGTTCTTCACCTTCAGTGAGACATTTGCTTCAGTCCCTTTTGAAAATGTATTTTAAGCTACTCAGTCACTGAGGTACCTTTGAAAATGTTACCTTTACTGCTGTGTCTCTACTCAGGAATTATCTTTTGAAATTCTACTTCACAGGTACAGAGCAACTGTCCAAGATGCCGTCTCCTCGCTTGGTGAAGACCCATATCCCAGTCCATCTTCTTCCCAAGTCTTTCTGGGAGAATGGCTGCAAGGTAACCAGCTGCAGTAATCTCAGGTCTACTAGAGAAAAGGCTGATAGGGGTATACTGTGATTCCCCGGATCATCGCATTGTTTTCCTCAGAGTTTCCCAGATTTCCCCAAAGGTGGAATATGATTCCGAAAGTGCTACTCAGTTCCCTATTCTGTGTCCTGATGCAAATGGTGAAGTATAGTCCAGCTCCCTCCTCCTGAGCCATGGTAGCTCTTCAGGTCAAGTTGAAGTACTAGCAGAAGCAGCATATGTTTGATGCTAAAAGGAACAGGTATGACTCTGGGGCTGCCTCTACACGAGACACTTACTGCTCAGTAGCTCATTACTACTGAACAGTAGCATCATGGGGCATGAATTGTAACAAGTTACTGCGCAACAGTAATGAACTACTGTGCAGTCAGCATCACCACAAAGCCATGTGGGGATGTTACTGTGTAGTAATGCCAGTTACTGCAGTCATTTAGTACTTGGATATGCTTGGGATGTGGGTTGGGTGTACAATCTAGATGCTGGCTGCTGCATTGAAAATTTATCCCACTGGGGTTGGTGTGGTTTCTGCCTTTCAGAGCCAGGGGCCACTGAGTCACAAAGACAGAAATGTATGTTTTTGCTTTGCCCCCATAACAAAAAGAGAGGCAGAGAAGAGGTAACCACCTAAGAGCACAGAAGAATGCAATAGAAAAACTTGGATGAAAGCCAGGATTAGCTGCTTCCAGTCCTGTGCCCAGTCCTTGACACTCTGGTGCCCTGCCTCAGTGTTCAGGGGCACCCTCACACTTGATGGCCTTTGTTGGGGCCAAGAGCCACAGCTGAGATATCCCTGGCAGTAGGGCTGGGATTTTGACAGAAACCTAAGGGTTCCAAAAGAGGGTCCTTTGACAATCCACTTCTAGATCCCTTGTAAGTCACAGAGGCAACACTGATTCTTCTTCTCTCCCTGCCCCAGGTGATCTATCTTGCCCGGAATGCCAAGGATGTAGCTGTCTCCTTTTACCACTTTGACCTGATGAACAAGATGCATCCACACCCTGGGAGTTGGGAAGAATACCTTGAGAAATACATGGAGGGCAAAGGTGAACTTGGTGTCTGTCATGAATTTGTGCTCCCAGATGATTAAACTGCTATTGCTTGAAATGTAAAGGAAAGGGACCTGCAGCTGTAGTTGAATTGCCCAGATGAGCTTCTGCTTCTTGCTAGAAATATCCATGCTGCATGCTTTAAGCATTCCTTTGATTCCCTAGGAATTTGAGGGGATCTGAGGAAGAGAATGTTCTTCCTATAACAGTTGCTTTGAATAGCCTTCATTCAATCTTTGCTTCCCTTCACAGAACACAATTTCAGGGGAATCCATATACCAGGGGATACACTGACTCAGATGTTTTATGAGTACAACCTAAGGGCAGAGTCTTAGCTATTGTAAATCAGCATAGCTACACTGACTTGACAGGACCCAGGGTCATTTATGCCAGCTGAGAAGTCGGCCCATTTGATTTCAATGTGGTCTTACTGATTTGTACCTATAGATTAAAATGAAAGGATGCCACTCAAGGATTTAGCTCCATGGACCTGACTCATTATGCACCAACATCAGCCAGAGACCAAAGCTAAGTTGTAGTCACACAATATTAGTTACTATCTAGTTTCTGTTCTAGTCATGGAAAAATAGATAAGGATTATAACCTGATTGAAGCCAGCAAGGCAATGAACTTGCCTGAATGTGTGCAAATGAGCAGAACTGGGCATTTCTGTAGACTCCAGATTTACATATGGTTTTGGATATATGTGTACACAATGAACTTCGACAGTTACTCCAGCAAAGAGTTTGCCCTCTCCCCCACCCCTTAATATACTCTTTCTCTAATGGTATTTGAACACCTCTGTCTCCAAGTGTAGTTGCTTTTGGTTCCTGGTATGACCACGTGAAAGGCTGGTGGGAGAAGAGGCAGGACCATCCCATTCTCTACTTGTTCTATGAGGACATGAAAGAGGTAAGAGGGCAACTATAACCCTTCCAAAGAGCAGTGTGCCTGCTGTCCTGGGATAACTTGTCTGTGGGTGTGGTCATGTTCCTCATGGGTAAAAGAGTCAGGTGATATAAATGCTTTGGTTGGTGTTAATTTCATGCCCAATCTGTGAGCCTACATGTGAACGTCTTCCGCACTTACTCTCTTTTCTTTAGAAGGGTTTCTAAGAAAAGAAGGGATTGTGGTATGGATCAGATTCTGTACAGCAGGAGGAGGCAGGAGGGCATCATGTTGAGAGAAAAGGTGAACAGACACATGCTTTCTAACTTGAGTACTAATATGCACCCATTACTGTATAATTTTGAAAATATCCATTTCACATATGTGACCTAGAAAAGCATGATTATCTCATTTAGAACTGAGGCACACAAAGAGAGAGGCTGCCTAGAACATCTCAAATGAACTGAAGTGCAGGTAGGACAAGTGACTTCTTTAGGAAGTGGCAGGAAGAACAGTGGGAAGTTGAGGAAGGATTGGAATAAGGGGAGGGGGACTGTTCTTGAAGGGCATCACTCTTCACTCTGACACCAATTCAGACCTTTGACAAGGATCTGAAAGGGTACAGTTATTTTTGTTTTCTTTGTTTCCACTGCATATCTCCTAGTATTAGCTGTGAAAGCAATTGGAAACACTGAAATACTCCCCAGAAGGTTTCTCCAGTGGCATTTCCAATAAAGTAGAAAGCAGGTAGTACTTAAAACCTCATAGAAGTCTACTCCTGCTAAGATTTCCATATCAAAGTGATTGGGATAGGCATCCATGGGTAGGGTACACCCTTGAACTTGTGATTAATCACTGTAAGATTTGTAGTCCCCATTTAAAAGTGTCTGATTCTGAGGGTATACTGGAGTTGGCTCTCAAACCTTAATCCCTGGGCTTCTGCAATATTTTGGTGTTAAAGAACAGATCCTCATCTGGTTGATGATTTCACCCTATGAGTTCTGGTGCTGGCTGGGGAAGATAAGGATGGAACAAGGCACCCTCCAAAATGGCTGTCTGCAACACTGTCTAACTAAAGCAAGGGTATTGTTGAATGAAAAACCAACTGTGATCTCTCTCTCTTGCTCCCCCCCATATACACACAAACTATATTAAAAGAACATTACTGAGGGTGCGAACTTAACCAGTCAAAAGCTAGGAAATGTCAATGCTCATGCAATATTGCCTATGCAATGTGCTAACTCTGGAGATGGAGAAATGGAATGGCTATGCCAGCTGTTAGTTTCCTTTTTTCTTATTTTGAAGAGGGTGCAGGAGTTGGGTGCAAGGTTGATTAGGTGTCTTTATGAATGGCTTGTTTGGACACCACAGAACATTTTAGGTTGCTAGCATCCTGAGGAAGTCCTAGGTTCCCTTTGCCTTCTGGTTTGGTGACACTGATGATCACCTGACTGTGTGAGTGGTTAGGTCCCACCATACTCTCTCTGAATGAAGCACTGCCTGTCTTTCTGTAGGACCCAAAGCGTGAAATTTGGAAGGTGATGCAGTTCCTGGGGAAGGACCTGACGGAGGAGGTTCTGGATAGTATCGTTCATCACACATCCTTTGAAGTAATGAAGGAGAACCTCAGCACTAATTACAAGATGGTCCCAAGTGCCCTGATGGACCAAGCCATTTCCCCCTTCATGCGCAAAGGTGAAGATGTGCATGGGTACCACAACACTTTATTTGCTTCAGTTGTCATAGGAAGATGCTTTCCCATCTAGTCGTCCCTCCTGCACTGCCTGGGAAGGTGGATGTGTTTTTATCTGGTCCATCTTCACTGGCTTTTAAGAAACAAACTGGTGACACTTCTGGTTCCTAATGAAGAAGAGCTGGTATCCATAAATTTTATGACATTAGGCACTAATTTGCAATCCCTTTCTCATCAGAGACATAGAGAAATGAATAGGTCTGGTCACCTAACCATACTCTGCCTGCTTAGTCCATGTTTCATGAATGAAGGAGATACAGCCAGTTTTTCAAGAGGGCTCTGCTCCCAGATAGGCACCTACGCTAACTGGATGGATTTTTCAGGTGTGTGCTGCATGCAGCTATTCCCTCAGAGTGAAAAATATTTATCAAAGTCTGGTTGCTTTCTACAGACAGCTAAACAGGAGTTCAGTTCTCTAAAAAAATGTGGTGGTAGAACTGCAGGTCTCTGTCTGGTATCTGTGTCAAGAACCATATTCACTAGAAAAAGAAAAAAAAGTATGTGGGCCAAAGTCTCAAGGGGAGTCATCTGAGAAAGCTAAAGAGACAGAACAAATGGGAGGGGAGGTGAAGGAGAAGTGTAGAATAGGGAGAGGATAATGGAGGGCAAACCTTTTGGAAGACAGACCATTTACCACTCTGTGGATGCATGGTGCATATGACTCCCCATTCTTGATTGGTCCCAATAATAATAATAATAATAATCATATAAGGACCATAATAATTCTACTCCTCATATCATTCACAAAGCTGAGAAGAAATCATTTCCATAACAAAACTACATATGAAACACTCAATATGAAATGCATGTTAGTTGGGGAGATTATTACAATTTCCAGTATAAGTCAAATGATCAGGAGTCTGTGTTACACATTTGCTTTCTCTGGCTTTTGCCTAAAGCTCCCAAAGTATTTTTAAAAAATTGCAAACTTGATCACTATGATATTTTAATCAATCAATTTCTGAATGACTTCTTTCCAGTTCAGAGCTAATTGTTAGAAAATCTTTTGATGAAAAAAATCACTGTAAAAAATATCTACCATGAATACTGGGATTTTACTTGATGACCTCTGTGCACAGAATATGGGGAAAAAAAACTTAAGCTGTAAGACAGAAAGGCAGATTGGCTTATCTTACATGTAGCACCTAGTAGGACTGAAGGGTGCTCAGCACCATCTGGGAATAGGCCTGTGTTAAATTTTTATCAGATTAGTATTCCATTTAGTGAGCTACAGTTCTGGGCCTGGTGTATGGAATATTGTGGCTATTGTGTCTGTTCAATAGCCCTAGAGTTAAATTTCCCTCTCAGTTACAGCTGTGTAAATCTGTTGGGCTACATAGAAGAGTGCCACTGAGGTCAGAACCAAGCCCTTCCTCAATCCATTAATTTCTGCTCTATTGCAGTTTCCTACACCAGCAGACCCTTTGGCTCACGTGGGCCTTTGTTGTTTCCTTCATTGTCTCTTTCTCACCTCAGGGATTGCTGGTGACTGGAAGAATCACTTCACTGTGGCCCAGAATGAGAGATTCAATGCAGACTATGAGAGGAAGATGGCTGGGACCACCCTGCATTTCCGAACAGAGGTCTGATGTACCTGGATGCTCAAGGCCGTGAAGTTAATCCGTGGTTCTCTGGAGTTTCCCGTGGCATCAGCTTTTTTTTTTTCTTTTCCCTCCTTCTTCCTTGAAAAGACGGGCTGTAGACTCGGAAATGTCTCTACAGAACAGAGGCTTGGATCTGATGTGTTGGGGCACCTGCACCTGGATGTAATGACACTGAGAAGTGGGAAATTGTTCTGAGTGTCTGGGGTTCCTTATATGAGCTCTGAATAGCCAGAAGTCTCATTCCCTAACTACCTCCCATGAAAACACACCTGGTTTTGTCCTGTAAATTTTAAGCACTGTAATACTAGCCTGGACAGTTTCACTGTGAGCTTGGACCCAGATTCAGATTTGACAACGAAGTAACATAGGCACACGGGGGCTGATTTATGGCATCAGAATCATAGCTGGAAGGGAGCTTATAGGTCATCTGCTCTAACCCCCTGCACAAATGCAGGAATGTTATTTCTAAATCATCCCTGTCCGATGTGTATCCAGCCTCCTTCTGAAAACCTCCAAAGAAGATTGCACAGCTTTCAACCACTACAGTGTGTTCCACCAACACTGTAAAGCAGTAACTGGGGAAGTGCAGTTGATAGAGATCTTGGTTGGTCCTTCACAGCTTCTTCCACAGGGTATGTTTACACTGGAAAAATGATGATAGATGAATTTAGAAATACACTTAACAACCATACTAAAGATCCAGGAACATGGGCTTTAACACATGGTGGCAATTGGAGCATGGGCCCCTGGTCTCTGTAGAGTTTGTATTCTCCAGAATGATGAAGCCCCTGCTAAAACATTTGCATTGCTACTGTTACCAGGTTAAATTAGCATGTGCAATACCAGACTTTAATTTTGCAGTGTATTCATGTCCCCAGGCTCCTTCTATAGAAGCAGGTGAAAAGGAGACAAAAACCTAGAAACCTTGACAGAGGCATCTAAACCAACAAGGATGGGAAAAGGAGACTGAAGCTATTATTGGGAACTGAACCAAGACTCACCCAGAGGACTAAAGCCTCCAGTGAGGTGAAGTCTGTCACTCACTCAACAGATATTACACGGAGGGGAATGGGAAGGGAGCAAAAACTAGGTGTTTGAGTAGCTTGGTGGCTAGGAGGTGCTGGGGAGAGGAAATTAAGAACAATGGAAGGTGGTATCATTGCCTGGAGAAATAAATTCTCGACTTCCAAGTTCATTAATTTAACTATACTTTAGTTGATGACCTCTGTCCACAGAATATGGGAAAAACAGCTTAAGCTGTGAGACTGAAAGGCAGATTGGCTTATCTTACATGTAGCACCTAGTAGGACTGGAGGGTGCTCAGCACCACCTGGGAATGGGCCTATGTTGAGCTTTTATCCAATTAGTGCTCCAGAGGAGCACTAGAAATAACTTCTCTTGTCAAGAGAAATAAATTCTGTTGACTTCCAAGTTCATTAACTATACAATTCATTAAGTATGGTAATTTCCACAGGGACAGTAGACTCATAAAAGGGACTGTGAGATGGACCGCTTGTTCTCTTTTAAGTGCCTCATCTTGTGATCCAGTTTGCAGTCTCCCCTCTGAAATCACCTCTCCATCCTTGATCCAATATATGGTACTGCAGGACTAGATTTTGCAAACCATGCCTAAATGTAGTAGCATTTACTCATCTGAGGAAGTTATTCTTACCAGGTTCTGTTACCCAGTCCACCTCCGCGGTGTTTGACATATCTCATTCATCAGTGTTAGTAACAGCTCCTACTTGTGGCTTCTTCTAAAATTCTCTCCTCCAAGGTGAATATCTGCAAGCAGGTGTGACGTGTGTGTATTTTGTCTGTGTGTGTGTCCTATTTTTGGCTTCTAAAATTCTCTCCCCCAAGGCAAACGTGCGTGTGTGTGTGGTCTCTGTCCTATTTGCAGCTTCTTCTTAAATTCTCTCCCCAAAGGTGAATATCTGCAAGTGTGTGTGTGTGTGTCTGTGGTGTGTGTCCTATTTGTTGCTTCTAAAATTCTCTCCCCCAAAGTGAGTATCTGCAAGTGTGTGTGTATGCACATGTGGCGCGTCTTACTTGTGGCTTCTTCTAAAATGTTCTCCCCCAAGGTGAATATCTGCAAGTATGTGAGAGAGAAGGAGGTGGGGATACTGTGGGACATTTATAAGTGCTACTCAACATGAGACAGGACTGCCAAATCACATCTGTAACTTTCTCATACTAAGAATTTCTTACTATGAATGTTGAACAGATGACTGGAAAATAACATGTTTTTATTACAGGGCTTTATTTTGCAAACTACATTTTAAATGGTACATTTTCACATTTCCCTCCAAGGCTGCGGTACCTCTTCGCCCCCTCCCCACCCCGTTCTGGAAATGGCACTAAACTCCTATGAATTTTCCTGATTCTAAAATCATGTCTGGATTTCCTGGTGAGGCAGATGCTGCCAAGAATAAACAATAATAAAAGTGACAGTGCCTTTGCACTTCAGGTGAATCCTTCATAAGGTGAAGCCCTGGGGATGTCAGGGCCTAGGATCCTAAGAATCATGCATAATAATAGCATTAGGGTTGCTCTACTGTATTCACAGATGATGCTACAAAATGTACTAGCAACACCTCTGAGAGCGAGTTGGGGATAATCATAGAAAATGAAGGTTGGAAGGGATTTCAGGTCATCTAGCCCAATCCCCTGCTCAAAGCAGGACTATCCCCAACTAGATCAAACCAGCCAAGGCTTTGTCACCTCCCAAGGATAAAGCTTCTGCCACCTCTCTGGGTAACCTGTTCCAGTGTTTTACTACCCTTGAAGGGCATTTATACATGTATTTTTTCATCTTGCAACATGTCTGAGGTCCAGCAGGTTGGAGCAGACTCAAGCGAATCAAGTCTGTTTTGCACGTGAGCTGATGCATGCTGCGCTGCGCCATGTCCAGCCACAGAAGTGGCAAAACGCATTGGCACGCAGAAAATGGTGGCGGTGCGCTTTTGAACTAAAGCACCTCCGAGGCGTTTTCGTGCAAAAGTGCGCCACCATCGTTTGCTCACCACTGACACGCATTTTGCCACTTTTAACTGTTAGATACAACTTATGCACACACACACACACTTATACAACTTATAACTTTCAACTTTTATACCACTTACACAACTTTTCGAAGCTCCGGCTGCTTTAAGAACCGTGTGTACCAATGCCCCATAGTGAGGAAATTTTTCCTAATGCCTAACCTAAACTTCCCTTGCGGCAACCCGGGACCGTGGCTCCTTGTTGTGCCGTCAGTACCACACAGACTTGGAAAAAACCCTCCGGCGGGCCTGCAGTCAGGACAGTGCGCGGGGGCTGATGCTTTCAGGCCTGCACCGGCGCTGCAGCCTCCCGCAGTAGAAGACCTTCAGTGCGGAAGCTCAAGCTGCATTTCCCCAGGGGACGTTGTAGTGGCGATGCCCCCGCACACACCACTGATCTCAGTGCGGGCTCTCCCGACTTGCTCTGCCATTACGGAGAAGGGGGCACGGAGCCCAGGCCCCAGCCCCGGGGCGGTGCAGTGGGGGGAGCAGGGCGCCGGCAGCCCGGGGGCTTTCCACGGCCGCCTCCGCCCTGCAGGCAGGGAAGAGCGAATGCAGGCAGGGAAGGGGGGAGGCCCCGCCCTGTGCTGCAACGTCAATGGGTGCCCCGGTGACGTCAGAAAAGCCTCCCCGTGGCGTCATTCGCGTCCCGCCGGGGGCAGGGAGGGGGGCAGTGCGTGGGGCGGCAGCGCCCCCTACCGGCTGCCCGGCCAGCAAGGGGTCCAGGCTGGTGCAATGGGGGAGAAGAAAGGTGAGAGGCAGGCCGGCTTCTCCCTGCCCAGGGCCTCCACAGCCTAGGGTGGCAGTGGGACCTGCCCTCATCGGGGGTAGGCCCAGGTCCCGGTTGTGGGCATGCTCTCTCTCTCTGCTCTGCTCCCCACCCATCAAAGACCTTCATCACAGTCGGGCAGGGCAGGCCAGGAGGGTGGGCTCAAAGAGGGACCAGCCAGGCTGGTGCATGAGCAGGCCAGCTCACTGTTCATTCAGTTTTAATGCCTGTAGAGCTGAAGGACTCGTGGCACTAGCAAGAGCCACAAACAGTGTAGGCAAAAGCGCTGAACTTTTCGCACATGGCCCAGCAGTTTAGTTCTGACCTTCGGCACCCCTGCTATTCCAC